GAAAAAGAGGAGGATCCATAGTGAAATTGATTGGCACAGTGGCAGCAGCAGTGAGGTCAAACTTATCAACGATTGTGAGGATGGCATAGGACCAGGTTCTATTGTGCATAGGGTCGCTTTCAGTCGGAACTTGACTCGTCTGTACCTAACAACACAACATTCATGCTGTAATAAGATGATGTCTCGTTGTTTGAATTTGCTTCTCTCTAATGGCTAATGATCATGAGCAGTTCTTCATGTTTGTTGTCCATCTGAATGTCTTTTTTGGTGACTTCTCTGTTCATGTCCTTTACCCGTTTTTTCATTGGTTTATTTGTCTCCTTGTTGAGGCACTGAAGAAGTCTATAAATTTTAGAGAGTAGTCCTTTGTCTGAGATGTCATTGGCAAACAATTTTTTCCCTGTCTGTGGGCTCTCTTTTTATTCTTTTGGTGAAATTCTTTACTGCAAGTATGTGTCTCATTTTTAGGAGGTCCCATTCATCTATTTCGTCTTCTGCTTGTGTGTTTTCAGTTGTGTTTGATAGTGTATATATACCGTGTATCAGAGCCCCTAAGTTTGTCCCTATGTTTTCATTGATGATCTTTGTAGTTCCAAGCTTTACATTTCGGTCTTTAATCCACACTGAGTTCATTTTTGCATGTGGTATGAGATATGGGTCGTTTTTTCATTTTTTGTGTAAAAATATTTCCAGTTTTGCCAGCAACATCTGTTGAAGAGACTATCTCTTTCCCATTTAATGCATTTTGATCCTTTATGGATGATCAACTACCAGAGGTAGATGGATTTAATTTGGGGTTATCAATTCAGTTCCGTGAATTGATGTGTGTTTCCTTGTACCATGCTATTTTGACTACCACTGCTGTGTGGTAGCTTTTGAGATCAGGAAGTAAGAGGCCTCATGCTTTCCTGTTCTTCTTTTTCGAAAAAATAATTCTTTGTTGTCTGGAGTCTCTTTCCTTTCCATATAAAGATTAGTTTTTCCATCTCTTTAAAGAATGGTGTTGGACTGGATTTGGACTGGACGGTATCTATAGATTGCTTTGGGTAGTGTTGATATTGTCACAATGTTAAGTCTTCCTATTCATGAGCCTGGTATATTTCTCCATTTTTGCAGGTCTCTTTTGGTTTCTTGTAGTATTGTTTTGTATAGGTCTTTTTATTACTCTGTTTTGATTTATCCCCAAGTATTTCAGTTGTCCCACATAACTCTTAGACTTTCTTTGTTTTTTTTCAATCCTTTTTTTCGTTTGCTCTTCTGTCATATTAGAGATTTATCTTCAAGCTCACTAATCTGGGTTTCCATTGCCTCAGATCCACTCCTTAACCCTTTTAATATATTGTCCATTTCTGAAATCTTAGTATTAAACTTCTGGATTTCTAATGACAGGTTTTGTATTGTTTCATATTCTTCATTTATTTTGTCTGTTTGTTCTTGTAGTGTTTTCCAGAATTCTTCTAAAGCTTTTTTGTGTGTGCGTTCTCACTTTCCTTAATATAATTCTTTTAAATCCCTTTTCAAGTAGTGCCATTACCTTTTGTTCCTCAGAAATGTTTTCTGGCACTGCATCTTGGCCATTTGTGTGAGCCATTCTCTCTTGTTTCTTTGTGTGAGTTAAAGTTGTATGTTGTCTTTGGGGCATTGTGATGCTGTAGTATTTATATTTAATTGGTGTTTGGAAATTGATGTGTTCTTAGGCTCTCACCCACTGTCTCCTTTTAGTATAGTTAAGGAATGAAAGCATGTGTACCACTCTGTTTGGCATTTGTGCACATCAGTTTAGGTTGTGTTTCACTGGTTTGGGCTGCTATCTATTTTAGATCAGGTGGTGTAGGAGTTGGTATTGGCTGTTGCCCAGTGTATGGAGCAGTGGAGGGTACAGTTGTGCCTTGTCTGTATAGGCATTGGTGCTGTCTCCTGTTGCATGGGAAAGGGCAGAATCACCCCCCCCACACACACACATATATAGGAAAGCAAAACAGAATAAACAAGCAAGAAACAACAATGAAAAGAGAAAATAATGAAGGAGAAAAAAGAAATAAAAACAGGCAGCAAACAATAAAAAGAAGAATATAATAAACAAAAGAGAAAAGAGGGACAGGAAAATGGACCTATAGAAGAGAATAATAAGAGAGGAAACATAAAGAATAAATAAAAAGAAAACTTTACAAAGTAACAGGGAGAGAGAAAGTGAAAAAGAAAAGAGTAGAAAGTAGAAAAGAAAGATCAAAGGGAAAAAAGAAGAAGGGAAATGAGAAACAGAAGAAAAGGAAAGGTAAAAGTAGAGATACTGTTAAATGCTATTGAGTTGGTCCTGACTAATAGCAATCCTGTATAGAGTTTCCAAGGAGCAGCTGGTGAGCTTGAACTGCTAACCTTGCAGTTCAAACGGCTTTGCAGTCCGGTGCATTAACCCACAGAGCCATACCAGGACTCCAAAGGATAAAATTCAAGGGAATGGAAAGAGAAGAAGAAGGAGTAGAAAGAATAAATAAACAAAACTATGAAACAATGAAAGGAAAAAAAAACACACCCAGAAGTCCAGTACAGCTGTTGAAGATGAGAAAGCTCTATGTGGCTCCTGCTAGCCAAGGAGGTCACAAGCTGGTTATGAGAGGGATCTAATAAGGGAGTTCCTGGCCCTAGATGGAGATAGCCTAGTTCAGGGCACCCGATCCAAAAGCATTTGTGGAGGCACTTGATAAAGCTGGTTTCAGTGTGTGTTAGGACCTCAGGGCAGCTGGGGCACAGTGACTGACTGAGGGTTTCTGCTAGACTAATTAATGCTGGTCTGTTAGCTCTGCTGCTTCTGTAGGTCTGAATGCAGGCACCAAAGTGGTGCAGCTGACCCCCACTTCCCACTGGTGTGACTTCCCACTACATGGCTCTGAATTCCCAAAGAGCATGCTCTGTACTGTGGGTGGATGAGGTTGGGAGCTGGTCATACCTCTGGTCACCAGAGCGTGTGGGGAAAAAAGAAGAAATCACGCCTTTCCCATTGCAAGTGTGAATCTGTTCTGCCAGACCGTCTTCTGTTGCCAGAGTTACTCACAAAAGTTCAAGATATCCGTGCCCTGTTTGGCTGGCAGTTCACTAGTCAGTCTTCCTCTCTGTCTGTCACCATCCCTGCTCATTCTCCTCCCAGCAAGGGCTCAATCTTCTTCTCTAACCTGCCCCTGAAAATCGGGGTCCCAAGGTTTTCATCTGTGTCTGTTTCATTTTGTCTGTTGTATCTTTGTTGTAGAGGATACATGTAGCATGTCTGCCTAGTTCACCATCTTGCCAGAAGTGCACCATCACTTCTTGATTACATGCTAGCTCCTGAAATTGTTGGACATCACCCCAGTCTTTTTGATACAGTGACTCTGTATTCCTTCCGTCTTCTTGTATTGATTGCCGTGTCCGTCTATATTTTACCCACAGAATCCTTCAATATTTGCAACTTGAGTTTTGGATTTTTTTATTCAGTTCTTTTAGCTTGAGAAATGCCAAGCAGGCTAACTGTACCTGTTTTCAAACACAAGTCAGAATCCCTTGCCAAGTATATTTGCTTAATGTGCAGTTGAAGTTAGAGACTTGGCTTCTGCTTGACTTAGATGCACATTCCTTTTGGTTTTCTTTTCTAGTTTTGATGAATGAGTTAGGGTAAGTGCTTTCTACCAAGGCAGAAATGCATTAGAGCCTTTAGAAGACAGGAGGGATACTTTCTACTTGCCAGGGACTGCACCCTCATTTCACTTGACCACTGATCAGCTATTTACCTTGGGTAATACATCCCACCTTTCTAGATCTTACTGGCTTTACCTCATTGGTCTGAGCATCTTGAAATCTGTGCCCATTGTGGTAAGGACCCTGTGGGTTACAAAGGCCTCTGTGCCTTGACAGCATTATTCTGTCTGCTTTAGAATGCCCTTCCTCATCTGAGCTTCTTGGTCAACCAGTGGTCATCCTACAGCACAGACACACCTGAGCTAAGCCTTTCCTGCCTTCTCTCCCTTCACATCTTTGCTCCTGATTTTTTTCCCTCCTTTCCATGCCCTGTGCATATGGCTGTAGAAAAAAACCCAAACCCAAATAAAAAACCATCCGGTCCTCACTGAGTCGATTCTGAATCATGGTGACCCCATATGTGTCCAGGGATTCTAATGACTGATTTTTCAGAATTAGATCACCAGGATGGTCTCAGACTGCCACCATTTTGGTGTTTATTTGTTTTCTTTTAGGAGAAATATATTTACTGATACCTGTTTTTATATAGTTTAATAACCTGTAAACACATTTTTCTTTTGGACTGCATCATGATCAGAATCTCCTGGGAGCACTCCAAGTTACACTTAGTGTGACAGACTTGTGTTTCATCAAAGAGTGGCACTTCTGTATTCAAGTGGCCCAGTGGCCTTAGAATAGATGCCTTCTAGACATGCAAAGTAAAGATAATGTGTACATGTCAATCAGTGGAAAGGATATCAGCCATCAACTAAAAAGAAACAATTGAGTATTAATATCCTAGAGAAAAGTTCCAAATTGACAGTATCAGAATACCAGAGACACATTATGTAAACCAGCACATCTTCTGGCTTGCTTAGAGACACATTCTCAAAGTGGGCAGTCACAGTGCCCTAGGATCACTTGTGGTCAATAAAACAGCAATTCTTAAAGAATCTAGATATCTTAGAAAGGACAACTTTTGGGAAAGATGAAAGATTGATACATTCTGAAGAGGTTAATGTGTACCACTCAGGCCCCCTGAAGTCAGAAGCTCTCAACTTCCTACCAAACGTGCTCATCATCTTCACTAGGTCACTGACAGTCTGGTACCCTAAATTCCTCCTAACACTTCATAGCAATTTTATGTTCTCCTGGGGAGGAGAGCAGTTAGCTGTGGAGAAGGACATAACTCTTCTATTATGATGTTGAGGGGCTGGGAAAACAGTAAGTCTCTACCTGCCATTTATCACCCAGTGTTTTAAATTATTCACACTGATTTCCACTCCTTACAGATTGCATGTGATCACATGAGCACAGATAGCCTAGCTACGGACGCCAGCTCTGCAAAGAAACCCTGGTCAGTCTGTCTTGATGACCGCTTTGGCTTAGCTCATCAAATCCGAAGCAAGCAGTGCCGCCTCTACTCTTTGGGGTAAGTACATTTTATAGCAGAGGAAAATGAAAACACTCCTGCTAACAGTCCAGGCCTTGTCAACAGCACAAGGTGATGAATGGCAGCAGTGTGTGGGTAACAGGTGCTGTGCTTATCTCTTGCCCACGATGCTACAGACCAATCTGTTTGTAATGACACTGCAGGCACTTGCAGATTCACCAAGGTCTCCTTGACGGGGGGCGGGGGCGGGGGGGGCACTCTCCCTCCCATTGTGCTGGTAGTAAATAGGCAGCTTCGGTTGTTAGCATGAGGCTGATACTTTCCGTAGACACTTCTAGCTAAAATTGTGTGGTGGTGCTGAGGGTTAATGTGCTGGACTGTAAGTTCCATTTGAATTGCAAGATCAGCAGTTCAAGCTCACCAGCCACTCCTCAGAAACCCTATATAGAGTTGCTAAGAGTCAGAACTGATTTGATGGCACTTAACAACAACATTATAAAGAACAGGAAGAATATTAATGGATGCAGCTAGGAAAAAAACAGCATGTCAGACATTTTCCATGCAGTCATGATGCGTGAGAGCTAGTGATGGCAGAGTGGTAGAATTCTATGCAGGAGGCCTGTGTTTAATTCCCGGCCCATGTACCTGAATACAGCTATGACCTCCACTCTGTCAGTGGAGACTTGTGTGTTGCTATGAACAGAGCTTCCAGACTAGCGAGGCCTAGGAAGAAAGGCTGGGCAATGTCCTTCTGTAAGTCAGCCAGTGAAAGCCCATTGAATCACAGTGGTCTCATCCTGGGCTGATCGTGGGATGACACAGGACCAGGCAGTGTTTTGGTCCATTGTGGTGAGGTTATCATCAACTGGAAGCCAGCTTAATGGCCGCCAACAACAACAAATGGAAACTGTTGTATTTTTATGTTTTGTCCCAATAGTAAATCTGTATAGCTTTACATTAAAAAAAAAAAAAGACAAAGGAAAAATGGAAACTCTTATGAAAACCCTAGGATTTTGTCAAATTTGTTTGGAAAAAATTGATATTTGGTTATTCAGGCTGAAAATGTCCTAGATGTACAAATGGATTTAGAGAACTTTTTTCAAAAGTTCAAGAATAAAAAAGTAAGACTGATATGTCACCACATACACCAGTATTCATATATGTTGTTTTTTGTTAAGTGTTGTTAAGTTGGTTCTGATTCATAGAGACCATGTGTAGGATTTTTGAGGAGCAGCTGGAGGGTTTGAACTGTCAACTTTTCAGTAAGCAGTCCAGTGCTAATCCTGCAGTGCCACACCAGGACTCTTGTACTCATATACTCTTGTTGTTGTTAAGTGCTGTCTAGTCAGTTCTGATTCATAGAGACCACGTATGGGATTTCTGAGGAGTGGCTGGTGGTTTTGAACTATTGACCTTTCAGTTAGCAGTCCAGTGCTAATCCTACAGTGCCACACCAGGACTGTAGTACTCATTATTCTTCTTGCTGTTAAGTGCTGTTGAGTCAGTTCTGACTCATAGCAACCCTGTATAGGGTTTCTGAGGAGCAGCTGGTGAGTTTGAACTGCTGACACTATGATTCACAGTCCAGTGATGATTCTACAGCACCACACCAGCCTTAAAAAAAAAAAAAAGAAAAGGAGCAGGGAAGGGAGGGCAGACATGCATTAACTTGAGTTAATTGGGGAAGGCAATATAAAATAAGAGGGAGGTTGGTGGAAAATGGTGGAGATGGGAAGACACTGGGAGGCATGCAAGAGTTAAAGGCAGCGTAAGTAATTGCTATTACCTACACAGTCCTGCAATAATGGTGGTCTGCAAGTAGATACATGGATAGACATGTAGGCTGAATGGGTGTGGGAGGGAGAGTGGGAGGATACTCACAAATAGAGAGAGATTTGACAGAGGATATTTGCACATGGGTATTTACCTTTGTTGCAAATATATCCATGAATGTGGTAGCGCGTACAGGGGGCAGAGTTATGAAAAATTCTTAGATACAAAAAAACAAATTGAGGAAATGACTTCCTGGGCCTTGGGGCTTAGGACCACAGTCTCAGGGGACACCAAGGTCAATTGGCATAGCATAATTCACAAAGACAATGTTCTACATCCTACTTCAGTGAATAGCAACTGGGGTCTTAAAAAACAACAACATCTAAGATGCAATTATTGGTCTCTCCGTGTCTGGAGGAAAGAAGGATGAAGAAAATCAAAGACGCATGGAAACAACCAGTCCCGTGGACTAATAGATCCTTCAAATATCAGTCTTTATGACCTCGAGACCAGAAGGACTAGATGACTCCCACCAACTTCTCTGAAAGTGATTATATTAGAAGATCCTGGGTAGAGTGGGAGACAAATGTGAAACAAAACTCAAAATCATAAGGAAGACTAGGCTTACTGGTCGTATAGAGATTGGTGGAACCCAGAGACTGTCAACCTTAGTTACCCTTGAGATTTGGAAATAAACTTAGCTCGTGGATCAATTTTCAGACAAACAATAGACAAGTCTATGAGGGGAACAATAGCACTATGGAGGTGCACACTTCTTAGAATCATCAATCCTTTGAGATCCAAAGAGCAGCAATTACCCAAGAATAAAGTTCAGAAGGGTTAGGAAAGAAAGAGGAATGGAAATGGGAAACACAGGAAAGAGCTGGGATAGTGATGTTACTCTGTGGGCATTGCAATCAATGAGATGAAGCAAAATGGTGTGAACTGTTGAATGGAAAACTGATTGACTCTGTAAACTTTCACCTAATTCACAATAAAAAGTTTTTTTAAAAAATTAAAGGCAGAATGGAATTATTTTTGTTTGGAATACCATAGACTTTCATGGAATCTGTGTGATAGGTTGTCAGGTTAGATCTCTGAACCCTTTGCAAACAGTCATGGGGACTGTTTTCCAACTAATGTCACACGTTTGTTCCTCACCTATAACTTCTTCACTTACATGGTTCACATTCAGGCCCAACCAGAATCTAGGTGATAGGTCTAATGACAGACACTTGGCCTAAAGGTGTCAATGAGTAGAGGATCACCATCTCTGTCCAACGATGGTATACATGAATGATTAGTCATCATGGAATTAAAAAACAAAAAAATGTTCAAATAAAAGTTTAAAGATACATGGGTTAAATAAAGAGCAATGGTGTGTATCAGTGGAACTTGCCACACAGTAGGCCCTCAATACATACGAGGGGACTTCAAAGTAGAATTGAAAGAAAATGGAATTTTTCCAAGAATTTTTTATTTGTGACATAGATGGCTGCTTGAGGGGAGAAGACCAGGGATATCTCGGTCTATGCTGTGATTTCAGCAAGGAGAATGTGAACTGGAAAATGAATGGCTCAGCTAGTTTATTAGAACAGAGCTTTTTTTCCGGAAGTCCACCAGCTATGCTTCAAGACTGGAGGAAGAATAGGAAGTTATGACAGCAGAGTTTATTTCCTATCATATTAAAAATGTATGAAAGTAGGTCATAAAAATAATTGCATAGCACCACATGCAAATTGGAGATCTCAGTTTGGTCCTGTTTTCTTGCTCCAAGCTGCCTTTATATTTTCCTTAATATTTTACACCCCAGAATGATTTCATTTAAAGAATATTACTGAGTAAAAATGAAACTGAGAAAACTTTTCAGGGAAATTTTTTCAGTTCCCTTTTGCTTTCCCTATACTTCAGAGTCATTAGATAAAATAGTTCTGCTGTTAAGAGTTCTGATTATTACACATGAAAAGATGGTTTTGTGTTTTCATTTGAATGTTCACCAGATAAAACCTACTTTGTAAAGGGCAGATAAAAACAGCTGAATTCCACTGGGAAAAGAGATGAATAAATTATAAGGGCCAAAGTTTGATTCAAAATGTGAAAATGCTGAATTGAAAACTGGAGTATAAAGAAAATACTTCTCATGGCAAAAATGGGATGCTGTTGTTCATGGATAGTGCATGTCGATTGCACTGTTCCTTAGGATTGGGGATCCAGACACGCATTACTCTTTCTTAGGTGAATTGCTTGCTCTGGGGCCAGGGAAGCAAATAGATTGCTGGTTGACTACATCATAGTTGGGGGGAAGAGGGAGACTCAGGCTAGAAGCAGGGGTCCTGAAATGAGGAGGAATAACAATGAATGTGGGCCCTGGGGTCCTGGCATCTGGGAGTGTTGGGGCACTTGTGAGATAGGTAGGAAGGTCAGGTGGCAGGTAAATTGTGTGCCCCCTACATTCAGGTAGTATGTGCTCCAAGCCCCCGATCTGTGGAAGCAACAAAACTATGCCACCACTGTGCTCAGAGAACCCCACAGAAACCGAGTATGAGGGATGCAGCTGAGATTGGGGTAACTTTGGAGTGAGGTGGGAGAGAGAGGTCTGAGACATGGTGAGTCAGAAGAAAAAGGTTGAGTGCTCTACCTTCTGATCAGTCTCATCTCATTCCCTCCACCCCCACTAACTAAGTAGGCCCCACCCTACTCTCTCTCTGATGTCTGACATTCCTTTAACAGGAGTCAAAGCTTTTATGCCACAGTTAATGTAAAAGACATCTGCCTGGGAAAGTGCACTCTGTGGGAAGTTCAGTTGAAAATTAAAGTTGAAAATTAAAGCTGAAAAGCCTTTTCAGTTTTGAAATGGGGTAGGATAGATGAATTTAGATGGAGGGAGACACTGAAAGGAAAGGAACATGTTACAGAGAGGAGGGAAGAGGAGAGACTTACAGAGAAGCTGTTGGGTTCAGGCATTGTCTGCCTCACACCCTTGATGTGTAGCAGAGGGGTGATGGGGAGGTGGTGGTGGGCAGGTGGAATAAAGTGAAGGGGGAAAGTCATCTGCTTCCTCCATGTTGAAGATAGATGTTAGAGGTAGGAGAGAAGGTGCTAGGGGAGACTCAAGAAGGGCTAATTATAGGTAAATATTTCTTACCTCTTCCTTTCTTCTGAACCATCTGGTTTGAAACCACGAATTCTCAGTGCAAGACAATAGAAGGTGTCATAAGTGGCAGATGGCCACAAGAGCCAGTATTTTATATTAAAAACCTGGGGCT